TTTTTTTTCTTCTTGTGTATCTTCTTGAGTAGTAGGAGTTGAGTTATTTTTATCACACTGCTAACAAACTGGATACCTGAAGTTTATTTTCATACTCTAATTTTACATTATCTTCGCCTCTGGAGGTTCCTCTATGCATATACTTGTACGTAATATAAATTTCCTTTTTTTTTATTTTACTATCCTGCTCCACTTACTTCCAACGTTTTTAATTCTTCCAATTTGACTTCCGTCACCTTCCTTCTTTTTTTATTTTCGTAACTAATTTCGTTTTTCGTCTTTCTTTTGTTTTTTCCTTAATCCTCACTATTCCTTAAGGTCCTTACACCTTCCTTTATATTCTTATAATGTTCTCTTTTTTTTCACTTCACTTTACACTTTATTATCTATTATTTACTTTTCTAAAATTCTACTGACAAATTTTATATTAATTTCCCTGAATTATTGTTTAATATTTTTTTTTATTTACATTACCAAATTGTTTAACCTATTATTGAATTTTTTATCTGCCATCTGCCTTCACTCTCTCATCATTTGACATTTGTTAATTTTGTATTATATTTTAAATTTCAAATTTGTGATTTATCTCAACATTCCCAAATTTGTTTTCAATCTTTTCAACACTCTGTGTTGTAAAAGATTTGAGAAACAAATTTCTGTATTAGTTATATTTTCTAATAGTTCCAATGTCTCGTTCATCTTTCATTGTCATTATGATGTGTTATTGTCATTTATGTTGTCAGGTCTGTAAAATTTGTACAATTGACATATGTTAAAAATCCCTCTAATTTTACTTGTCACTGGGTCTATTAGTTCATAACTATTAACTCCCTTTTTAGTATTGATTATAAAAGGACCCTCATATGGTAAAATTAGCTTGGCACATTTTTGTTCAGATCTATTTGCTACTCGTAATGCTTTTACAATTACTAGTTCACCCTTCTTAAAAGTTGTTTTGTTATTTTGTTTTTTTAGTCTTCGTCTAATGTATCGTTCAAATGATTTCTCTAATCTCTCATTAACCCCGTCTATTAATGTCTCATAATTTACAGAGTTCTCAAATAACCATGGTCGGTCTGGATGTATTTTATAAAACAACGTTATTGGAGCTACCCCAGTTGTTGTATTGGATATTTTATTTATAAAATACTCCACATCCTGTAATTTTGTATCCCACAATGGCTGTTCAGTATGGACTAATATACGTAAGTACTTTGTTACCTCTTTTATGTATCTCTCGGAAGGATTTGCCGATGGATGTCGTATGCTTGTAAAATTCATTATAATGATATTTTTAGTCATAAAATTTTTAAAATGTTGTGTTGTAAAATAACTCGCATTATCTAAAACACATTGTCTTGGATTCCCGTGCTCATTCATGTATTGTCTTATTATTTGTTTAACAGTTGTTGTATTCGTTCTTTTACAAGCGTATGTGCGTATAAATTTTGAAAAAATGCCAACAATTACTAAAATATGTCTATTATTATTATACGTCGGTGTAATATTAGAAATAAAGTCTATTGCGATAATGTCTAATGGTCTTTTTGCTATTATTGATTTTGGAGTTCCCTCATTATGTTTGTTTTTCTCTTTACCCAGTTGACATATAATACAAGTTCTTAATATTTCTTTTGTCAAGTTTTTATCATTTCTTGTATAGTACGTTTCTCTAAACATTTTCCAAGTTTTATAAACGCCAATATGTCCATAATTCTCATGTAAAATTTTGATAATTTGTGTCGCTAATTCTGTACTAATCGTATATAGTTCAATTTCGTCAATTTGTTTTATGTATAGTCCGTCTCTTTGTATTAATTTTTCTTTTTCTTTTTTAGTTAACACCAGATTGTCTTCATGAATTGTCTGCAATGAAAATATTCCGTCTGTTTGTTTNAATTGAAAAATAATAAGAGTCCAGGAAGTGACAAATTAACAGTCGAACTATTTAAATATGGAGGACATGAACTAGCAGACCAATTACAGAAACTATTAGAAAGATGTTGGGTAAAGGAAAAACTGCCAAAGGAATGGACGGAATCAGAAATTTGCCCTATCCATAAAAAAGGGAATAGAGGGGAATGCCAAAACTACAGAGGAATAGCATCGCTGAATGTAGCATATAAAATACTAGCTACTTGTATAAAAAACAAGTTGGTAAAGGAAGCGGAGGATAAAATCGGTGAATATCAGTGCGGGTTTAGACAAGGAAGAAGTACAGTAGACCAATTTTTCACTCTGCGAGAAATTCAGGCTGAGAGCTTCGAATACGATAAGCCAACAGTAGTTCTGTTTGTAGATTACCAAGCTTATGACAAAATAAAAAGAAGTGAGCTATATAAGGTCTTAGAGGAATTAGAAATCAGCAAGAAGATAAGGAACATGGTACGCCTAACATTGAAAAAGACAGAGAATAAAGTAAAAGTAAACAATAGATGCACGGAAGAGTTCGAAGTTAAAAACGGCGTCAGACAAGGGGATCCATTATCAGCAGTGTTATTTAGTTTAGTGCTAGAAAAAGTCATAAGAGATGCAGGAATTAATAGATCAGGCCTTATTTACTATAAAAGACATCAGTGTTTGGCATTTGCGGATGATCTTGTAGTGTTAGCAAGAAATAAAGCAGAACTAAAAGAGGTAATAAGGAGAATAGATGAGCAGTCAGTTAAAAGGGGACTATATATNATTAACATATGGAGTTCGACTTCTTGATATAATTTTTTCTTTCAACAACTTCTGTATTTCTACTTTTACTTCATCTTTATATTTATATGGTATTGGATATGTTTTTATTCTAAAATTTTCAATATTTTTTACTTCAATTTTATGAACATAGTTAACAGCAACTCTCATTTCTTTCTTAATCAACCTATCATACTTTCCTAATAAACTTTTAATTCTCTCTTCATACATACTTTCACAGTTTATTTTCATATCATTTATATTTATTTCATTTTCCCTATTATCCCAATAATAATAATCATTATTACTATTAATTATACATTTATTTCCATTATTCCCCCTACTTTCATCATAATTATTTAATTCTATATCATCCATACACCTAACTTTAAACTGTTCATCTGTTCTATTCATTGCTGTTAACAATTCATTGCTTCCATCTATTTTATTTTCAAATTTTATCTCAATATCATACAAATTTATTACTTTGGTTTCATAGTTTATTATTACTTTATTTTTATCAAGTTCATCGTTTCCCATAACAATGTCACACTCCAAAGTAGGCACTATTAGTAGCTGTAAATTCAAATTTAGATTGCTATTTACTTCGATTTCTAGATGAATCATTTTATTTACTTCGTACAATTTCTTACTATTTGCACCGATTAAATTTAATTTAGGAATTTTAATAATTTCTGTTTTTAAATTTGGAATTCTTTCTAATAAATTTTCTTTTATTAATGAAGCTTCTGATCCACTATCAATAAGAATGTTTACTGTTTCATTTGCAATTTTAGCCTTTAAATATATTAATTTAATATGCTCATTCTGTTTCAGGTCATTTTCCAAGGATATAAATTCGCGTGGATGTTCATAATTACATCCATACGAGCTCACTTCTGGTTTGCACTCTACTGAAAATTTTGGTTATCATCCATGTTAGAAATTGGATGATTCCCATTACGCCTGCTAGGATTTTCTCTGTCAAGTGAACGTGTTCGACATGGCGATTGGTCCTGTTCGTTGTTTCGTTGTGTACGTTCAAGAGAGTCACCTGCTCGTCTGTACCTGCTGAAATGTACTCGTCTGTCTTGCGTTTCGTCATTTCCTTGTGCATTGTAACGTGTATTGTTATTGTAGTTGTTATAATTGTTTCTGTTAGAGTTTTGATTATAATTGTTATTAAATCTGTGTGCATTATAGTTTTGGTTATTATTATTAAATCGTTGAGTATTATAATTTGGATCATTGTTCTGATTGTAAGACATATTGTTGTAAAATCGTGTATTGTTAAAGTTTGACCTGTTATTATTATTATCATTTCTGTTCTGGAAATTACTAGAATTTTGTCGATAGTTATAATTTTGTTGATTGTTAAATGAATTGTTACTATTACTTTGTCTCTGATGATTGTTAAAATTTTGATTTCTATTATTGTTTCGGTTTATATACTGTGAATTTTGTGAATTTCTAAGCATATTTCTTTCAATCCGTGTCAGATAACTGTGTAACTGTTCCATTGTTTTAATATTATTAATAATTATAGTTTCAGATATTTCCGGTTTGAAATGCCTCGAAATATACAAAACTATTTCTGACTCCTGCATTTTTGGTGTTAAATATTGAGCAGTTGTATATAACTTTTATGCATACAAAGATAAATTGTTTGACAAATTTGGATTAAATTTACCAAAGTATAGCCTTTCTCTTACAATAGATTGAGCATTATCTTCCCAAAAATATTGCAAATATTTAATTTCAAATTGTTTAAAATCCATTAACTGGTCTTCTGTTCCATTGAACTATACTAATTCTAGATTTTCTCTAATCATTTCTTTGTATTTTTCAAAATCAAATGTTCCTCCTTCTACTCTTCTTGTTTCCAAATCGTTGATTCTTTTCTTTAATGATTTTAAGAAAACAATTGGGTGTAAATTATTGATATTTCCCCCAAATGTATGCAATTTATTTTCTCCCTGACATATTATTCTTGTAATTGTTTCTGATTCTTTGCCTTTTTGTTTTTCTATCCTCTTTACTTCTTTCCTCAAATTTTCTATCAAACATTCAGTGCTTGTTCTCTCTGATTCCCATTCATCTTTTGTGCTGTTCATTCCAATTTGTACTTCTTGTCCAACTTGATCTATTTCTCTATTATTTTTCGTGACTTTATTATTTATTGTTCTTATATTTTGTTCTTGCAGTTTTACTGTCTCTTCAATTTCCATTGTTTTCTGTATCACCTGTGCTACCTCTTTGTTTGTTTTTTCTACATCTTTTTTTTAGTTCCTCTCTCCATGTATGAGTTTCTTTCCTAATTTCTTCTTTTATATTTTGTACTAAATTTTGAATAGTTTTCATATCTTCTTTCCTTCCTGCTTCAAATCTTTGTAAATCGTCCTTTCTTCCCTCTTCCAGTTTTTTAAAATCTTCTTTTCTTCCTTCCTTTATGATTTCTTCTAGCCTTTTTCTGTCTTCTTCTTGCCTCTTTCTATCTTCTTCTTGCCTTTTTCTGTCTTCCTGTATTGTTCTCATCATTTCCTCTAACATGCTTTGCCATGCTGGTATCTGTCTGCTTCCTTCAGATCCTGTCCTGTCTTCTTCTTCTTCATAGCGAAGTTCTTCATCTTCCCTTCTTGTGCTCGTTCCACTTCTCAAATCCATTTTCTGTAGATTTTCCTTTTAAAGTTTCCAATAATTTTTTTTTTAAATCTCAAACGCTTCTTCTAAATTCGAAGAGCCCCACGTTGGGCGCCATTTTGTAATAATTGCAAACTGTTTAATTTATTTTTAATATTAATTT